ACATTATGTGTGTATATATATATATATATATAGTGAGAGAGAGATAAAAGTTTAAGTTTTAAAGCATTTCTTATTCAACAGGGCCACCTGTACAGGCTTTTATTCTACATCAAAGTACTTGACAATTACCTACACAGTTATAGTTTTATATAAGTTTTTTCATAATCCAATATAAAAATTTCTGGATATTTTTTACAAGAATTAATGAACGCTTTCTCCTTTATAATTACAGAACAGTCTGGTAATTTTAGCTACCAGAACTTTTGCTGTAATTTTACACATTTATTTTTTACAATACAAGCACAAAGAGTCAGGCTGCCACAACAGCTTTTATTTTCCATGTAGAAAAACTAAGACGTGTAGTTGAAATTGCACTTCTTTTCCTTAAATTAAGGTATCTCGGGCATAAAACATGTAGTTAAAACTATATGAAATTTCACTGGTCTCCCCCACTTCAGATCAAACTGGACTGTATGTGGCCCACGCTGTAAAATTAGTTTGTTACTTCAAAGGCGCATGGACATCTGCTCAGGTTTAAGTTCCAGCAACACTTGTACCACAAAGAACTACTTTAATACTTCTTAATAAGAGTTACTGGACCTTCAACCAATTCAGAATCCTTTATAACATAACCATAATGATTGACACCTGATTATTATCAGGATCAGCGTAGTAAAAATGATTGTATATATTGTATATTGAGTACAATTCAAATATATTACTGTAAGAAAAATGTTCTTTCTTCAGTTTAAATCAATTTTGTTTATATAGTGCAAAATCCCTTCAAGGCATTATATACTTTATATTCAAAGGCATAGACCCCTACAATAATACAATCAAACGAACCCCTTTGAAGCCAAGCAGTTGACAACAATGAGGAGGAAAAACACTCTTTTCATACAGAAAGAAGCCTCCAGTAGAACCAGGTTCTGGGAGGGGCAGCCATCCTGTGCGATAACAATAAAGGCTAAAAAGTCGCAACAAAAAGGAATAACGTTAATGCATGATGAAAGTTGCAACACTTACCGAGATGATGATTGTTGGGTTCCCATCTTCATCCCTGATTCGGCGCTGCCTGAACACCGGTGGGATCACAGCGGGCTCAGAGATCGACTCGTCACCCAGTATCAAACCCAGGCTGTCTTCTTCTGTTGTACCATCCTCTGCATTAGTTGCAGGCATGGCTACGGTGACTGAGTGGCTGCTCAGCTCAGTGAAAAGCAGCAGAGTTAAGAAGACAGAGTAGAGAGAGATCATGGTATCTACAATGTTTATTTCTTAAGACTTTCGCCAGTTGAGCCTTGCCTTAACAACTGGTATGATTGGACTTTAAGCTGCTTTATATATTGAGGGAGAGAGCATTTTGCTGCCAGCTCACAATTGTTTAATGTACAAAATCATCATCATGTCTCCCACAGGGACACATCAACGTATAAGATCAAAGGTCACAGGAGATGTGGTATAAGTCCATTAACAGGGAAGCAAAAGGTGACAAACTTCATTTAGTACATTTAAAGATTTGGCGAATTAAGGTTATTAAAGATGGGGAAACATGGTGTGCTATAATTTTAACCACATTAAAGAACTCGGGGAAAGAAGGCTCATTGAGGGTCAAAGGGCAGGAACTGATTCAAATCTGTCCCTTCAAAATCCGCATGTTGAAATTAACCCAGCAGGTGATAAGATGGAGACTTGCTGCAGTAAGAAAGACAACTCACACAGGGAGTCTTTCAGAGGTATCAGTGACTTAACAAGATCCCCATCAACAAGGTGCTGTCGCCTCCAGACTCAGGTAAAAAGGCACCTACTTAGATTATTTGTCTGGTATCGCCAATCACTATTATACCTTCTTGCCAAGACTTTGAATAGAAGAAGTCTGTTAGTTGAACTTGGCTCAAAGACGGAAAATAGGCTGAAATGGCTAGCATATTCTGTTTGATGAAAACAAAAGTCATGTCAGCTTATCTAAAAGTCACAAATTTAACAATATATCTCTTTTGTAAATTCTGGAGGAGGGGTTCATCTTATTTATAAGGAGACTAAACCCACAGGTTGCTTGTGCAAGCTCTTATTACAAGTTTTATTTAAAGTTATGTTTTTGTGGCCTCGTTAGCTGGTACGAGTACAGTGTTTTCTGATGTGGTCACTTTTACATGGTTTTGAGCCAGGTTGGTCATTTTATCTTACAATTTAAAAGGAGAACATTTTTAGGCAAACCACATAGTTTATGTTCCTTAATCTAACCAAAAAAGTCCAATTAAATGGCAAGTGAAAGTTTATCTTAAAAGAGGTTGAGCTCAAGCCTCCTAGTTAACCTGGGTTAGGGTTAGCATTCTTCTTCTGTTGCCTCTATATCACCAGCCAAGTGAAAGCAATTCTCTTTGTTGTTTAAAGAATGTTTATATTGGTTGTTTTGAAGCTATATTAAAAAAAAAAAACCCCACCCCAATCTGATTGTTTTGCTTGAAGACGGGTTTTTTAATCAATGCTTTTCCAGTAGTTCTGGGAATCGGGAGTACACCTCTTAAATCAAGATTGCAAGTGCCTCAAGAACTATTTGCTGGGTTTCCATGTAATCTTGTGCAGGCATGTGGCTTCTGGAAAACTGATTCTTCTGATTT